GTCCAGGACAGATGAGCGGTGGTTTGATTTCAAGATATTCATAAATGAGCAAGCTGTTGAAATGACAACCTTACACTGTGCATATTTAATTATTAAATGAATGAATCATTTTCTTTACAATCTCACAGCTGTTAAATGTTTAAGGGTGGTCTCCGTGTATATTGGCCGTGGTTTGAGATTTGAGAGAGTTATTGGTGATTGAAATGGATCATATTGCACTTTTCAGACAGATTTTGAGTCCATCCAAACGGTGAAACGTCCGCCTACATCGGCTCTCCAACGTATCCCAAAACTGGGAGAAATGGAGGCTTTGATACGGAGTTTTTTTTAAAGGTAACAGCCGCAAAATTAACCTCACGACTGCTTGTCGCTGGAGCTGCACTTGTCGCCATCTTCCACCGGGCAAAAAGAGTACCGACGTGTTTTCAGAGATTTGGTCTCGACTTGGTAGCGAAGTATCGGTGACATCCCTAGCTTACATAAATGGTTTCTGGAGACAGAGGCACTCGGGGGCCTCAGGTAATGTAACAAAGCCACATTGGGACTTGTTAAACATAGTCAGGGTCGACAGTTTAATCCCTGGCAAAGTTAACTACTCAAATAAGTTGGACATCAATCAGTGGATCCAATCAGAGGTGATGTAAATTTTATACAGATTTTCTGCCGTTGACCATCAGCAAACCAACTTAAACTTATATTTATCAAGCATCTCAGTCCTCATTTGAGTGAAGTGTCAGTCTTAGAGCTGATTCACGACTCTTTGCTGTGCCGCAAACAGGATTTTGGATGACGATGTAGGCGAGGACCAATCACTGAAGAGATTTCGTCTATTAAGAAAATGATAAAGATAAATTCACATTGAATGGTGAAATTCCTACGAGGAGTTTATATTCAAGAGAATACATTATGATATAGGCCTACTAGTGTTGTAGTACTCGAGACCGGTCTAAAGACCACTTTTTGATGGTCTCGTCTCGGTTTCGGTCATTGAGGACTCGGGATTTTATTTCAAGATCAGTCAAGACCATAACTTTGGGAATATCAATAAATTGCTTTTACATCGTCTCATTTATTTGTTAACATCCAAACTTTAATTGGATGTAACACGTATCGCTTCAAGTGCAACCAATAACCCTAATTAAAAATGTGTTGTTCCCGTTAACGACTGTCGTGATGGTAAGCGTGGAAAAGGAGTGTTCAATAATAAAGATGCTCAGGTTGATTTCAGCTCTTAGTGTTTCTATGTGGGTGTTTTAATGGGAAAGTGGATCAAATTACCTGTGATCTCGTTCCACATTTTATTGTGCGTCATGTAAAGTGGGGAACTGGTCCTGGTCTTGACTCTGTCTCGCTTTGGGCGGTCTTGACTGTAAAACTCAGGCCTACACATTAATAAAAGTTTATGTTTATATGAGCGCCATCAGATGCGCCCACTACTCCTGTGAAGCCGGCTATTTGCATGAACTGTGTTTGCTTCTGTCGGATTACGGGCGGTGTTGCTGGGAAGTCGATGAAACGCGTGACAGTGTGCTATGATTGTCTCCATGACTGTTCGGCTTATTGATGCTAGTGACGGCCAGGACTTTGTCCTGTGGCAAATAAACAAAGCGTCATCACAACCTTCAGTTTAGCTGAAAACGCATTGCCGCTCAAAGTCAGTGGTGAGATGACGTCCCTCTCCAACTCGCCGACAAAGATCATGCCGTCGTCAACTAATTCAGAAATTCTTCCTCTCCTGAAATATTGGCGCCTCTGTGAGAGCGATTCTTAGCTTTAAGAAATTTGATAACTTGCTTTTATTCTTAAGTTTAAAAGCAGGAGTAAATTTCATGAATTCTCAACACTTCAGACTAAAATGGCACTTTGAGAGGCTTAATAAATACGGGCCCTGGTGACACCATCATTTACAACGGCTAAATTTAGCACTAATTAGTGAATTCACTTAGGAGTGAATCCAAGTGAATCTGCAAAGTTGTTTTAAATTTGCACCACTGAACACGAGCATGTCATCTTGACAGCGTTGAACTTTGTGGGACCAAAAACGCTCGATTAGCTTTGTTCCCCACAAAACAGCAACGGTTGGCAGACGGTTATGAGACAGGATGGTGCAATTATGTCTTTTGAACAAACTGCAAAGAGTTAAAAACACCAAAGTCACACAATAACACAAACTAACCGACCCAGGCAGCGGTAGACCACAAAGGTAAAATGACTGTTATTGTCAATGGTGGCTTTGACCAGAGCGATATAGGGGTTGTTTCTGGTTAAACAAAAAGGATCTTACTCTTCTCTGCTCATTTCCATGATGTTGTCAGACACTTATAACAACAGTCTGATCCTGTCAGTGGTAAGAAACAGCTCTTTAGTGAACATACTCATTTACCCTAACCCTAACCCTCGCTCAGTACTGGACCAGTTAGTCACACTGACCCAAAAAACATCTGAAAATAAGGTCCAGGTTGAAAAATACCACAGTTACCCTTTAAGTACATATAACCCCGGGCGTGGTTATTAAACCGTGTCAACCACAAACAGACGACGATGACAAAGTCAGTATTAGAAGAAATCTCCTTTAACACACACAGCTGATAACCTTTGTCAAGGTTTGGCAATCTGCCGTGTTTTATTTACTTATAAAATGTTTTATTTAAATGTGTTCTGTTATGAGTTTCAGCCTCAAGGCTCTTGCACACTGTTAACCTTTTGTCCTGATAGCAACTGAGCTAGCTAGCTAGCTCACTAACTGGCAGCAGCGATGTCCCGTTAACAAAATAAAAGCCTGTACGACGGGATTTTAATCTAATGTTAATGCTGCAGTTTTGCGTGTATTGTTGTTGCATTAACACCTTTGTATATTCTGTCATATCCCTGTATTTATCTTATATAGAACATCCAGAATACATTTCCAGGATATTCCAGGAATTCCTTGACTAGGTTTCCCCAAGAATTTCACTCTCATCCTCTTCCACGTCCAGCTGCTTCCTTTCTCCTCAGCGTTACAATGCGAGGACACAATACAGCTGTTTACAGAGAGAACCTTTTCAATCAGAGTATAATTAACGGAGGCATTCAAGCGCCTACTAGTTGGCTAATTTTTGGGAAATTTACAGCTTTCTCATGTATGCAAGGGCCTCTTAAAGTGGATAAAGATGCATATAAACAGCTTATCTTGAGCCATTACCCAGGATGCCAAGCGCATTTCATTGGTCCCGTCTCTGCTGCAGCCAAAAAAAAAACTTAATACCAATTACTTTTACACTCAAGTCAAGTCCTCAAGGCTGTAATATGCATCTCTCAGTGGCAGCAAAGAAAACAGCCCGACAATAAAAAGCTGAGTCCCGTCCAGCTAATCCAATAATCATGCAGTCATTCAGGATCATTTCCTGAAGAGGACTTTGATCCCTGAAGTTACTGAACCTCCCTAAACTCGGGAAGGACAGCGTGGTCACAATGAGTGCGATTGTGTCCTGACATAACGTGATTATATATGTCAGTACGGGCCATAAAAGAAGGATATGGTGAGCAACATTCAAAGTCCCTTCGGAGATCAGGAGTTTGCTGTTGCAGAGGCCAACACCCAAACAAACACCACACAGGAGTTCAACTGTATAATGTTCATAGCACAGTGGGGACAGTAAATAATGCAAATTGCATGCACATCCATAAAGAAATATCACCGTGACAATAAGTAAGATGTAACGTAAAAGACCATTTAATGTGCTTTTTGAGTATTTCAGACGGATTTGAAAGACTGCAATAACCAGAACAGTGATTTCAAAGCAGCTTCTGCATAAAAAAATCAAAAAAAAAAAAAAGCTCAGGACAAACACAACAAGCACTGAGGGGTCTTATGTAATCATGCAACACAGATATAACCACTGTGAGCTCCTTCCCCTGACTTGTGAGGATGCCACATTATCTTTTATCATAGCTCAGGCAGCAATATCACAATGGCCAAACCCACCACCTCCCTCAGCTTTTTTTTTCTTATGCAAAGCATGTCCATTGATTCTTCTTCCCAGGCTCAGCAGCGGCGGTGTGGGTGTGTGTGTGTGTGTGTGCGTGCAGGCCGCAGCCGTGCTTATATTGTGAGATCTGACATATTGCTGCTGCCCAACAACACAGCCTCTCAGGTCATGTACGCACCAGTGAATTCTCTTCGCAGCTGCCAAAGCTGCGTCCCTTTTGAACTCCCTCTAATGTAATGAGGCTTGTGCTAACAGCTCGCTCAGATATGTGCGCCGCCGCTCTAGCTGTCCAGACATTATCTCACGCCGAGCCGAACCCCATTCAAAAAACGCTTTAATTTGGGATCGCGATGCTTATCATGCGCACACAGACGCTGTGAACAATGAATCATCACTTTTTCTGACCCGGGAGACAATTCTCTTTAATTCGGCTTGTATATAATCAACAAAGCAGCAGATCTGTTCCCGATAATCCAACTTTTAAATATTGTTTGCCTGTTAATTCCATTATGTTCTTTAACCAGAATACACCCTTTTGTGGCAATGGCACCGAGGATTTGTGTATTGGAAAAGTTGGAGCCTTTATGAAATAAAATTCCTCTTTTATGCCGAATTTTAGAGCGTGTCCTAATTCTTCAAAATATCTATTGGACGATTTAATCTAACAAACACGCATCTATTGATCATCAAAAACACTTTAATGTGCCGGATGTTTAAAGGAAGTCTGGGGCCGACTCCTCTCAACAAAGCTAGACACATCTATAAGCGTGATTTATGTTGTTTAAACATCAAATATCCCACGGCTGAGTGCAGGGACGATAGAAACTGGAAGGTTATAGATGTAGCTTGGAGTAAACTGCCGTTTATCTAAGGATTTGCCACCGCTCTCAGCTCTCAGCTACGTGTTGACGGGTTTCCTTGTGGGAAAGTTGCACCGTGTGTTGACAGCCTCCCTGTGTGCTGTAGCCCGGCTGCTAGCTAACATCACCGCCTCCCCGCCGGTGCGTGCAGACGGCTGCCGGTGTTGCCTACCTCCGTTTGTGCGTGAACTCCCGGGACTCCGCAGTTTGTTTTAAGGAAAGAAAAATAAAAAAAAACAGAAAAAGAAATCCCAGAAAGGAAGCGCGTGTCCCAAAACAACAGCCGGGTGTCTCTCTCTCTCTCTGGATGATGGGTGTCCGCTCCGGCAGCCTGGGCCACACTCTCCCCGCCCTGCAGCCTCCGACTCCCGCAGCGATCCTGGGAAACTGGCCGCGTGACGTCACGAGCTGGATAAATAGTCCCCGGCGGAGTGATACTACCTGCAGGGGGCGCTGTCCGGCCCAGGAGGTGCAGGGGGGGGGGGGGGGGGGTTAATGTTCGTGCACAGGTGGATTGTTTTAAAAGGGGCAGTGGAGGAAGTGTTGTGAAGGTACTAATAATACCACACTGGGAGCATCTGCGGTGGAAGAAGTCTTCAGATATTTAACTTGAGTTGTAAAATTAAAAATAAACTAAAAATCTTCAAAATATACTTAACGTTACAGAAATAAAAGTATTCAGTGTGCAGAATGGCCGGTTTCTGAGTCATATATATTAATTTACTGGATTATAACCAGTTATCAAAGGCGTCACTTTGTGTTGAAAAAAGTGGTGGGGACCATTTAGGGGCCCAGATTAGAGTTGTGATAAAACAATGTAGACGTGACAATGCAGAATACTGGGGTCGCTAGAACAAGACTAGACCTTATTTTAATACTATTTAAAAGAACGATTTTGAGCATTAAACACAAATTTATGGTGGAAATGTCTTTATTTACATGAAAGGGATCACAAAATTCCAGGTGGCAGGTGACAATTCAGAATATAAAATTATACTGGAATATAATGCAGTAATCAGTAAATTGTTTTTTTTATCCTAAGTAATTTGTTTGATCAGTTTTGCATTGCATGTTTTCTTATTGTGCAAATATACATTTCTCAGAGCATTTTCATTTGTCAGTTAACATTTCTTGGTGCAAGCTATTTTTCAGAACATTTTTAACAAATGTTTTCAAAAACATGTGCCCAGCATCCCCAGTGTAAATGACACCTTTGTAATGAATGTGACTGTGATCTGTCACAGTTGCAGGGGGGGGAAATGTGTAATTAAATTACAGTTACTTATGAAAATATTCCTGATTACTTTGGGGGTCTCATCTGAATATTTTTGTGAAAGGCTTTGTTCTGACGCTTCTGATTGGTTCTAGTGTTTAGATTTGCAGCGCCGCCCGTCTGCCTGTTAAACTGCTTCTCAAGCTGTCTTAGGAAAATGGTTGAAAACAGCTGAAAACTTTAATTAGAAATTTAGTAAAGTAATCAAAAAGTAATTAAATGTAATACGTTACATTACTTTGGTGAAGTAATTGAAATAGTTAAACTACTTTTTCGTATTGGTGACTTGTGATATTTCCAAAGTAACCTTCTCAACACTGCTTTTAATTACTGATGCATTCATGTGTTCATCACTTTGATGTTGCAGCTGTTAAACATGGAGCTAATTACAAAGTGTTTTACATAAAAGTGACATAGGGAAATGTTAATAAAAACATTTAAATACAATTTATTTTAAAAGAGTTAAAGAGAATATAAAATCAAGCTAAAACAGGACAGTAAAAGTTACTGTGTAAGATATTAAACAAAAGTCTTACATTTAATTTAATAAAAGGTCTACATTCAAAAGAACTGAGAGTTTCAGCAGACCTGCAGTTTGTTTCAGATAAATGGAGCGCTGCTTCTCCAGGTTTAGTTTTGACTCTGGGGACAGAAAGCAGACCTGATCCCAGACCACCTGAGACGGTCTGGATGGTTTAAAACGTGGCAGAAGATCAATTCTCTGACGGACAGGAAGCCGGTGTAAAGACCTCAGGACTGGAGCGATGTGATCCTCTTTGTTGGTCTTAGTGAGGACTCAAGCAGCAGCGTTCTGAATCAGCTGAAGCTCTCTGATGGATTTTTTTGGAAACCCTGTACAGACACTGTTACAGTAGTCGACTCGACTGAGGATAAACGCATGGACAAGATTTTCCAGATCCTGCTGAGACATAAGTCCTTTAATCCTTGAAATATTCTGCAGGTGATAGCAGGCTGACTTTGTAATCATCTTATGCGGCTGCTAAAATTCAGGTCCATGACTACACCAAGATTTCTGGCTTGGTTTGTGGTTTCTGGAGTCACAAAACAAAATGTAACAGCCAATCAAATTAATCGGATCTGGGCTATGAATTGAGATATTGAGCATTAGGCCTGCAGCGTGATCTCAGCCTAAGATGGCTGCCTCTGCTGGCGGGGAGGCTTGATGCAGATCTCCGTTTTGTTTCAGAAAAGCTGCTCGGCCACATTTGTTCCAACTCAAGATGATCGGTCTTATTTTACAAATGAATTTATCTTTAACCTCATAATGATTTAACAACATTTATGCTTCAAAGCGCAGTATTGATCCTCTGACCTCAGAGGGCAGATCCATGAGTACGACCCTGCGGACTGTCCCTCGGTCTGTAAATGCTAACGTCAGCACGTTAACAATGATATGCTGATGTTTAGCAGGTAATGTTTACCATGTGCACCATCCTGGTTTTACTTGATAGCATTTTCTAAAGAGCACAAAACACAAAGCACAGCTGAGGCTGATGGGAATGTCATTAGTTCTGCAGGAATTTAGTCAAAAGCCAAATATTTGGACAAATTAAAACTTTGACCTGATGGTGGCTTAAGATCAGAAAATCAACAAAGGCAGTAAGATTCATCCTCTGGGGGACAATAACTACTAAATTTCATGTCAATCCATCCAGTAGTTGTTGAGATATTTCACTTCAAGACCTTGTTTACTGCTGATTTTGTGTCTCTCCTTTGTGTTTATTGTGTGCAGCAGCTCTTAAAGTAAAGAGCTCTACAAATACAGTGTCTTCTTCTTCTTCTTCTTCTTCTCTCTGCTTTACAAACTGTGTTGTCTGTCGGCGTGTGTGTGACAATGAGCAGTAAGAGCTTCAGGAAGGATGGGGATTAAATGGGATAATGTCAACGGTGCTAATCTCTGTCTGCTGCTGCACTCACGGCCCGTCAACTGCAGACAAACGTATCACACGAATCATTAAAATATTAACGACATATTAACGTCAAAACACGGATAGCAGTACATGGGACAGACACGACCACTAAAGGTGGAATTATACAGTTACCACTTTTGAAAAGGTCTGTAGTTAATATGTTGGTAACCATTGGTAAGTTAACCAGCCACCACAGTGAACTGGACCTTTAACTCTGGTTCGATCTGTCAATTTAAGGACCTTCATCATTCCCCGAACTGAGGCCTGTCGAACAGATTATCATCCCAAATGAGCCTGTAGCGTGAGGGCTTTACAGACATAATCTTAAAGTTGCCGACTCAACTGAAAGCTCCCTGATTTCAAATTGTAAATATCTGTATTAGAGGAAATGGGGGAGCCTCTACACAGAAACCCTTAACAGCCAATGACATGTTGTGTATTTGCTCGTGCTATAAAACGTAATATATATAACGTAAGAAATGACTCTTTGCTACAATGTAAAGTAGTGAGTGTGCAGCTTGTATAACAGTGTAAATCTGCTGTCCCCTCAAAATAACACATCACACAGCCGTTAATGTCTAAACCGCTGGCAACAAAAGTGAGTACAGCCCTCACATATTTGTAGATATTTGATTCTATCTTTTCACATTATAACACTGAAGAAATGACTCTTTGCTACAATGTAAAGTAGTGAGTGTGCAGCTTGTTTAACAGTGTAAATTTGCTGTCCCCTCAAAATAATCACACAGCCGTTAATGTCTAAACCGCTGGAAACAAAAGTGAGTACACCGCTAAGTGAAAAGACAGACACATCATGATACATTTCCAACAAGCTTAACTGTTGGGAGGTCTCAATGACAAAACAATCGCACCACAAGGTCCACTGTTCTGGAGCTTTCAATCACAATGCATGATCTTCAACCCAGTTGTTGTGGAAATGTAGATTCATTTTTCGGACCACTTTACAGACTTCTATTCCACGTCGTCGTAAATGTTGAGATTAAAAGTTCTGTCTTGACCTTGCAAACAGCAACTGACAAAACAATCTCACCACAAAGTCCATTTAGTGGCTGCTCTGGAGCTTTCAATCATATCACACAATCTCCCTCAGCAGATGGAGTTTGCATAGTTGTCCAGATCATCTCAGAATAATCCCTTTTTCATCATGGTTAAAAAAACAAGGTGTTTACATTCTACTCTCCAGTTCAGGAGACACAGAAAAACCTGAAAAATTTCCATCACAACCAAGCAAACTCCATCCACGGATGAAGAGCACAATATGTGGTTGAAAGCCCCCCCCAAAAAAGCTAGTAAGTAGACTTAGAGTTAATGTTATTTTGCCAAACTGAATCACTGTGTTACGGCAATCAGTGACAGACAGCAGCAACAAGGACAATAGCTTCCAAGTTGTTAATTTCTATTTTAATATTGTAAGGATTCACTGAACAAGCTCATAAGTGGGACGACAAAACACAATTCAAGAGTCATGAATGTTTTAGTGGTCAGTAACACAACACTAAGTCCAAGAATAAGTCGCTCAACACGAGGCTGAAAGCCGAGAGCAGCATTTCATAGCAAACAAACCACCAGAGACGAGCAGGACACACGTCCGCCTTTAAAAACTGCACTCTTGTGTCTGCATTTACATTTTAGTCATTTAACTGATGCTATTTTTCAAAGAGACTCAGAATCAGTGGCTTAAGAGAGAGTGTGATGCCCTGCTGAGATAATGTTCGGACTACAAATTAAAGTTTTCTTTGCCTGTTTAGTGACACTTTCATGTACGCTTTTGTTTTTGTCAACAAACCCCATGAAAAGACCAAACCAACACGTCCAGAACTTCCTGTCTGTGGCTCTCAGCTCCAAGCTCATTGGTTCCTCCTGGAGACGTAACGCCTCACAAATATATATAGTTTATTTTTATTTTTTTAAAGGCTCAGTAAGTTCCTAAAACAGCTGCTCACTGTAGCTCCTACCAAACAAACAGGAGGAAATAGTGGCTTTGTGTGGGACTATTTCCAGCGGAGGATGAATCCACATTTGGTGCAGCAGGACAGTGTATGTGTTCATGGTGATGAAGGAACATGTGACCCAGTGCAGCAGAGATGCTCACTGATGGGTTTAATAGTTTCTGCGGCGCTTTATTTGTTTGGCTTCGGACTGTGTAAAAGAACTGGACACAGCCACA